CTTTTATAATTAAAAAAAAATTCCTGTGGCATTCTAAATTTGATAGTCTTAAGAACCTTGTTGGAATGGTTTTATCATTCATTACTCTTGTGTGTATGGCAACTCATTTAAGAACACGTTTCCATTCCAACAAAAAGGAATCCCTAGTATTGGCAATTTTCTGACTGTGTTTAGGTTTTTTTCTTTCTTTATTTCCTCCTTGTCTTCCTTCACTCCCTCCATCCTTGTTTACTGTCTGAGTTCAATTGTCTTTCTTTAAAAAATAAGATAGGCATATTTTGCACAGCCAAAGATTATATTTAACTAAAGTGTTTTGAAATATTACAATATTATAATTTTAAGGTGGAATGAATTATCACTTTTAAAAATCACATATTTTCTATATAATTACTGTATTATGCATTTTACTCTACAAATACTTTATCAACACATTCAATGAACTGTTTATAGAGGAATTATGCTGCTAAGGCCTGAAAATATGAAATGCGGCTTCTTTTAAAATGACATTTAATTTTATTTTAAAGGCTGTAGATGACCCATACAAGTGTATTTGTTATTAGAAAAAGTAATAGAAACTATAATGAGCTCTTTAAAATACATCAGCCTCTCTGTAAATTTTTTTTTTTATTATACTTCAAGTTCTGGGATACATGTGCAGAACATGCAGGTTTGTGACAGATATGCATGTGCCATGGTGGTTTGCTATACCCATCAACCTGTCATCTACATTAGACATTTCTACTAATGCTATCCCTTCCTTAGTTCCCCAACAGGCCCTAGTATGTAATATTACCCTCCCTGCGTCCATGTGTTCTCATTTTTCAACTCCCACTTATGAGTGAAAACATGTGGTGTTTTGTTTTCTGATGTGGATAAATAGAAACGCTTTCACAGTGTTCGTGGGAGTGTAAATTAGTTCAACTATTGTGGAAAACAATGTGGCAATTCCTCAAGTATCTGGAAATAGAAATACCATTTAACCCAGCAATCCCATTACTGATTACATACCCAAAGGATTATAAATCATTCTACTCCAAAGAAACATGCACGCATATGTTTATTGCAGCCCTGTTCACATTAGCAAAGACTTGAAACCAACTCAAATGTCCACAAGGACAGATTGGATAAAGAAAAGAAAATGTGGCACATATACACCATGGAATACTAAGCAGCCATAAAAAAGGATGAGTTCTTGCCTTTTGCAGGGACGTGGATGAAGCTGAAAACCATCATTCTTAATAAAATATTTTTTTTGGCCTTAAAAATTATTTTCTCTTTTTTCTCCAAGGCTCTTTGTCTAGTAGAGAGAATTGTGTTTGGCTATACGATTGGCTGTAAAATTAATTTTGATGTATACTCCAAAGGTGAATTATACTATTTACAAATTTGAATAGTCAGTTAATGACTTTAAGTTTACCCATTGAAAGCAAATATGCCTTTTAATAAATTATCTTCCTAGAAGAGAAAATGAAATAGTGCTTAAAATTAAATATGTAATTTGAAGAAAATAGATTTTATATTAATCTCTAAGCATCCATATGTTACCACCAGGATTATTTAAACAATAAATTTGATGAAGTTTTCAATTAATATCATACTTTCTTTGATTCTGGTATTAGTATTAGTGTCCATCATTTATGGAAATGCTATTTATGTTAACTTTATGAATGAAGCAAAATTCCTTGAGCTCCTCTGGAAAGTCAGCATGAGTTGGTCATTTTCAGTTTCTGCAACTGTGTGTATATAGCATATGGGATTCTTCATTTAAAACTGCATGTAAAATAAAAATAAAATTAAAATTAATGTTGAATTCTTTCCAAAATACTTACTAGATATTTTAAAATCACAGTTGATTACATTGGCTCAACAGTAATTGCATCTTTTTTTATTCTAATGTACAAGAACTTTCTGTTCTCCTAGTGTTTAAAATAGTCATGCCATAGGAGCAAAGACTGCAGATATATCCTGTTTCTGTTGTTGCTGCCTATTTGGTTAGGGAGATGGGGGGTGGGGGGTGGGGAAATACCTGATGGTTCTGAAATCTTTCTTGAGTCCGTGTGAGGTAAAAAGGTATGGTTTTGCACATCCTGGGACTAGGAAGAGTTTTATCTTTTTCTAATCTCTTCTTTCTCAGGTTGCTTTTGGAAAATTTTATTTTGAGTATAAACATGGGGCAGACTAATGTGGTAACATATAGAATTGTCCAGGAGACAGTTTAGTTTAAGAATATTCAAGCCATAGACAACCATTCTGCCCCTTGCTAGACCACCCTAACGGAAAAAAGTATATACTGAAGTAAAAAATCTCCTCTACAAGTATTAACTTTCTTCCTTTCTTTTCTGAAATCTCTGAGGATGGTGGGAGAATGCTTTGTGATGTGGCTGCTCAGCTCTGAGCTTTAGAAAGATATTCAGATGAAGTTAAATTCTATGAATTCTTGTTGCCTTTGACTCTTCCTGTAACATGGGATGCATATTCAATAAAGTTATCTTACATATGTGTGCTAAAGCATTTATACCGGAAGACTATCAGGAAAGCTATTTAAAGTTTATGCCCATATGAGGAAGGTGAGTGTGACATGTTTGAATACATATGCATAGAGATTAGAAATCCTCAGGAGAACAGCAAATGTCGGTTAGTTTTAATGTTAACTCTTCTTGTTGTTTCAGATAAGTAATTTCTCTAATTTGTGCCTCAGTTTTCTCTCCTGACAAATCATGACAATTATATAAAGAGGTAAGCCTTCTTAAGTTAAAACTCTTAAGTATCGATTTGGGATTGTACTGGTTTCAGAAGACATGGACAAGTTAGATAACTTTTCTGAGTTTTAATTTATTTTTAAGCTAAGAATGCTTACGTTGTACAAATTAAAAATGTGGGAGATGTTCTAGTATTTGATTGTTATAAGTTGTCAGTGGATGGTAGTTTTCATTATTTTTCCCACTACACATGTTTAGTGGTCTCAAGAAAATACACGAGGCTGTAATATATATTAATCTACTTGGAGAACCAGAATTAATATTGGACTAATGTATCAATAATAAAAGCTGAGATGTATTTAAATTAATTCATTCATATATGGATGTCATGACTACTCTTATTGAAAACAAGCAGCTAACGCAAAATAGCATTTTTTGCTATATTTATGCTGAAACAATACAAACAAAAAAACCAAATCATGTGAAAGGGTGAGTTAGCTGAGCAGTAATTTCACAACTGAGTGTATATTAGTATGGCTTCATTGTATAGATTCTAAAAATAGTAATCATTAGCTGATCACCACCATTTTGAGTGTAAAGATCTCCTTAATATTAAAAATATTCACCAACCTATATACAATATAGTAGTTTTAGGATTTATTGATTGAGAAAATACACAGTAACAAAAAGCAAATGAGGGTTCCATTTCACTTTTCAGTGAGTTCGCATTTTAATTATTCTGTCATGGAGTATATGCACGAGTCCTATATCCAAGTCTGTCTTCACTGAGGCTGGGGCTCATTGTTGAACATATCTAAATTCTACAATTAGAGGCAAAATGAGAAGAGAACTGTTTCATTTAACTTTTGTACGAATGTAAACCTTTTCTTCCATAGTGCATATGAAGCCATGGAGGGAGATCTGAGGTTTAAAATGTAATAAATTATCTTTTGTTTCTTCATTCTTTCAAAAACTTCTCAGTGAGTCAAGGTCCTGGGGAAACAACAGTGAATTAAGACAAAGATGCTATCGTCATGCTCTTGCTATTTACAGTTTTGTGGGCAAGAAACATAACAAACACATTTTATAATATAATTTTGCAACAATAGTGACAGAAGGGTAAGGGGTAAGGGGTAAGGGTGTGAGAGGAGTGTGTGTGTGTGTGTGTGTGTGTGTGTGTGTGTGTGTCTGTGTATGTATGTGCCTGTGAGAAAGAGAATGTATCAAGGAAAGTCTGAGGAGATTATTAACATTTGATCAGGCTATCATGTACATATTTGGGGAAATGTATTTCTGGTAGTGGTAATAGCATGTCTAAAACAGTAAAGAAATTGTCATCTTAGAGCAACATAAAGAGGACAAACTAGGCTACAGGAGGCTAACCAAGGAAAGGTGATAGGAAGTGAGGTTGAAGATTTTGGTGGGGTTTCATCATCTGAGACTTTGTGGGGCATGACTGCTATCAGACAAGTTTGCCTCAGAGGTAAAAGCAGTTACGACAACTCTTGAAAAATAAGATTTTTGCTGCCTAATGTTTTCCCACAAGTTTGGCAAAAATTAATACAGCTTACTAATGCCTGAATTCACATTTATATCTAGGAAGCTATGTGTTACTCTTTTCCTTTTTTTTTCACATACATTTGGAGAAACGAACTCTTCCTGTTTTTGACTACCCCTCAGAACTTATTATTAATAATTTGGTATTAGTGGTAAGCAGTGGAAATAGTTTCCTATTTTATAAAATTCAGACCTCTGGGGCACTTGAAACAGGAGTTTATCTTTAATTTACTTTTAGTTCCAGTTTCTAGAACCTCAAATTTCTTGTTAGTATGGGGTCCTTTCTTCCACAATCAGACAAAAAAATTAATTAAATATGGGTGTGGAGTCATCATTGTTTATGAAGAATAGAATCATATCTGGGTGAGATGGAAAGGAAGATGTTTAGATGATGACTTTTGTGTGGTTTGACTTTTTACAAAAAACTTGCATTCTTTTCCATTTAGAAAAAGATAAATTTATAGTTTCTTATTTTAACATCTTCCCTTCTCCTCTCTGCAGTCTCACTTTATCTACTTCTGTGGTTTTAATGTAAAACCCAAAATTTCCTGTTCTGCCATTTCTTTTGAGACCCAGAGTCTTTTGCTTAATTAACTACTGAATATTCTGCAGACAGTTAAAACCTAGGGAATCTAAAATTAAAGTTGCCGATTTTCTGTCCCAGAACGGTTTCTGCTCCATATTCCCAGTCACAGCTGATGGCATCCCATTCCACCTATTCTCCCAAGTTAGAATTCTGAGTCATCTTTGCTCTGTCTTTTTTCTTTCTCCCTCACCCTCAGGTCACAGCACATTGTTCTTTTGCAAGGATATTTCTCAAATAGTCGCCTGTCTCCTTTCCCATTTACTACTGCCTCTTGCCTAAATTTGTGCAATAGCCTCCTGTCAGTTTCTTCAAATCTGCTCATCTCCCATTCTACTTCCTGGTGTGCTTATAAAAATACAGTATGGAAATGACTTTTACTTGTTTCTACTCTCTACAAGGTGTACAAAAATTACTCAGCACGCCATGCAAGTCTATTTACGATTTTTTAAGTTTGATATCTGGTCTCATAATCTAGGGTCTGACTGCAACAAAATACTTGTCATTCTTCAAATATTTGCTCATGACTTTCTCTCCTGTGGTAATGTTACCTTCACTCTCTAAGGCACACATAGATCTTCCATTTCCTGGTAAATAAACTGCCTCACGTTGTTCAATATTAAATGTGATTTTTGTGTGTGTGAGTTCTTGTTGTTCTCTTGGGACTCGCAGACAGTTAGTTGCCCCTTTCTATATTTCTAAGAATTCTGTCTTCCCTGTCCCTTTCTCTATGTCACATTTTGTTATTATTATCTGACAATATGTCCATTTCTTTTATAAGACAAGAACAGCCTAAGAGCGGGAGCTATTAATATGCCTATCTCATTTATCTTCATGTCTGCAGTACATATCACAATGCCTGCCTTATAGCATGGGTTCAATTAATGTTTAGTGACATTAAAAAAGGAGGAAGGAAGGAAGAAGAAAAATGCAAATAAACCTGGGAGAGAACACATGTCTAACTGTTACTCTGAGTATTTTTGGAATCATTATTGAGAATATTAGGTTACATAGTAAAAAAATATTGTATTTTGTCTCTTACAACACAAATGCCCTAGTAGTCAAATACCAGAGAGAAAATGGCACAGCTGAAAAAATGGCACACAGAATACTGATTTGAAAGGTTGTATATAAACAGCTCCCTCTTCATCATATTGCACAGTGATGATTATTACTTTGAACGTTGGTCTGGATAATATTGCTTGAAATCAGTTGTGTTCACCTTAGCACATGATCAGAAAAGCCTGTGATTATTCTATTAATTTTGAAGCCCTAACCCCATCTAATTGTGAAGAAACTGAGACACAGAGGAGTTGTGAAGCACGTCTGTGTTTCTTATTATTAACATAATTTAATTCAGTGCAAAGCCTAGAGACTTACAACCCTCATTATCTTTTATAGCTCCTTCTAGAGAAGATTGCCAATTCCTAAACTTTTAACATGGGATACACACCAATACATTTAACACAGTTGGTTCCATGAGATAAATTTCCCTCAATGGGAATACTGAAGTAGTACAATTCATTTGGACTAAATCAAGATCTATACTCTTTTATGAATGCTCCATGGACATGATTGTAAAAAATTCATTTCACAATCCTGCAGTACTTTGACATAAAAAATTACAGTAAGAGGGTTTACACTCTTGAAAAACAAGCAAACAAAAAAAGTGCAAAAACTCTAGGAAAAAGAATATTTTGAGAGTGGGAATTTGCTTCACTTGTCCATAGTTTTTGCGTTAGCCTTCTTCTTCTTTTTAACATGGCATTTGTCTGAAGTTGAAAAGCAAGTAAGTTATCTAGGAGAATTGTTTTGCCTTGAGGAGATAGAGAAAAAAATGAGACAGAGAGAGAGAGAGAGAGAGAGAGAACAAGTGAGAAAAAGAGAAGGAAGAGTTTGGTTTGACATGCTTTTGCCTCTCTTTCTGGTCATGACCCAATAATTGTGTCTTATTTGTTTATCTGTGTATTCTTGTGGCGCTCTTAACCCTAATACTATGGTGCTCTTACCTAGGATTCCCTCATTCTTTTTGAATCACAAATTATTACCCATTACTTTCATTTGAAGCTTCCCAGTCTGTAAATCAACTATCTATAAGATACAATGTTTGGTAATAGATTTACTAAGCTATTTTCATATGGATGGAAGTCTTTAATCTTAAAAAAAAATTGCTAATACTGGGATTTATGTACCATGGTAGGTACTCTCTATTGCCATTGTCCTGGTTTAAGTTCTAAAACTTTGCTGCAGTTCATTAGCTCTAGACTGTTTCATATTTTACTGTCTCTAAAATCAGAATATGCTTTATACTCAATAGCATCTCATAGTTTGTCATTTTTTTTTAGTAGTAGATAAACTGATGGGATATCTTACAATGTTACATTATAGGCACCCAGGCAATGTGAATCAGAATGATCACTAAGTGTTATGAATCCTAACTAGCCGACATCTCTCTTATTAACCATCATCCAGCCTTTCTGAGAGTTCTGTCACAGCTGTATCACTCCCTCATGTTTGGCTTTGACCAGCTAAAATACAACATCATTGAGCTTCCAGCCTTTCTCTCTTCATTTAGTTTTCTTCATTGCTGCCGGACTAAACTTTTGCAAATACAATGATACCACATGACTTCCTTCCCTTATTAAAATTCAACTCAAAGAAAACTAAATCTCTTTGAATTGATCTTTGCCTAGTGTTTAGAATTTCTCTCCAACTGCTTTGCTGTGAGCCTATTTCTCTTTCCCAGCCATATACAGAACTGTCTAGTTTCCAAAACTCACCAAATGGTTTGCTTCTACCTCTCATATGAGTTATTTCACCTCGCTGTGATACACTTCTGCACCTTATCAACTTAGCAAATTTGAGCTCCTTCATAAATACCTAAAAGAAGACATTTTGAAATTGTACACTGTGATGAATAAGATTAAAATTCACATTTATTGGCTATCTATCACAGATCTTGGATTCAGCAGATATGTATTAAAGCAAGCTATGTTCTAGGCATTGGTGACAGCAAGAGGAAAAGAAAACATCATATCACTCCTTTCAGAGATAACGCAGAAAAGCCTGGAGTACTACAACAAGAAACCACTTATTCTTCCTATGCCACCTGGTAGGGATTCTGATATGGTTTTGTTCTGTGCTGCCAACAAATCTCATCTAGAATTGTAACCCCATTGTGTTGAGGGAGGAACCTGTAATTCCCATGTATTGAGAAAGGGAAGCGATTGGATTACGGGGTGGCTTCCCCCATGCTGTTTCCATGATAGTGAGTGAAGTATTCTTGATATCTGATGATTTAATAAATGGTAGCTTTTCCTTCATGCTCACACTCTCTCCTGCCACCTTGTGAAGAAGGTGCCTGCTTCCCATTCTGCCATGATCGTAAGTTTTCTAAGCCCTTTCCAACCGTGAGGAGCTTTGAGTCAATTAAACCTCTTTCTTTGTAAATTACCCAGTCTTGGCTATTTCTTTATAGAAGTGTGAGACAGGACTAATACAGACCCCCAAATTGTTGCATTGGGAACTGCTGGGAAGGGGAAAAGCCTGGGAATAGAGTTTATTGCCAATTTATGAAAGATCTTAGTATTTCCAGTTAAATGCTTTATTCTATAGGAAATATAATGTTTCGAAGGATTTTTAAGTAGAAGAAAAACACATAATATGTATGAACCAGGAAGAATAAATTTGGTAGCAGTGTACATGATGAATTGAATTTGTGGAGATAAGACACTCATAATTAGGAGACAGGGATACAATTTAATGATATTTGCAGATGGCTCTCAGATTCCTACAAACCTAACCTTTGCCTTGTTGTTTCAACAATTTGCAATAAGTCATGGTTTTCAAGCATTTTCCCTTAAGTCATATTTTATTAAAGATTCCCATATATAATCATACATTAGAAAATAATATCTTCATGTAGTCTAAGCAGAATTATAATGATGTCTAATGTTTGCATAATATTTACCATCACAAAGTATTCAGAAATATAATGTTGTGACATTGTAAGATTCTGAAGTAATGGGGCAGAAATTTTTATTTTCTCACTTAGAAAACTATGACTCAGAGAGTTAGGTGATTATATTATATGATGTATGAATTCACATAATGGAAGCAGTTGTAGATCGTTATTCTCTTGATCTTTTTATTTATTCATATGGCTTCATAGGAGGCAGAACTGGGCTGGTACCTACCTTTTTCCACTAAGCAAAACTGAAATTAATTTGGTTTTTAACCTACCTTATCACCCTAACTCAGTGACCAAAGTATTTTCCTCTGCCTTTTTTTTTTTTTTTTGAGAGAGGGTCTTGCTCTGTTACCCAGGCTGGAGTGCAGTGAGATGATCTTAGCTCACTGCAGCCTTGATTTCCCAGGCTCAAGCAATACTACCATCTCAGCCTCTTAAGATTAACTAGCACTACAGCTGTGCACTATCATGCCTGGCTAATTTTATTATTATTAGTAGTAGTGGTAGTAGAGATGCGGTCTCACATGTTGCACAGATTGGCCTTGAAATCATGGGCTCAAGTGATCCTCCCACCTTGGCCTTCCAAACTACTGGCTCTTCCCTGTTAATCTTGACTTCAAGATTATTTGTTATCTCTGACAGCTGTAGTTCAATAAAAAATTTGGCAAGTCAGTACCCTAACTCATCACTTCAAGTTGCCAATAAAGATGCTAAACTGAATTTGCACCCTTATTAGTAATGATCAGCTCCAATAAGTGGAGATCTTCATTTTAGAAGATAACATAAAATCTATCCACATTATTTTAATATATTGAGACCAGTATCTCCTATGAAGTCTATTCAGCACTTACAAGACATATTAGGGGATCAATATATATCCAATATATATTTTAAATGAAAGGCTATATTTTGTTTACCAGAGCTGGGTATAATCTCCTGGGTATCCAGTCTGTGTTCAGTTATAAATATAAGGTTATGTATATCACTCTCCATAGTTGCTTTTTAATTTCAGTGTTTTTGTTGCAGTGCTGCCAGGTTTGTATGCTCAATGTGCAGCAATGTACAAATACACAGAGACAGTGGGATTTGCAGCAGAGAATGAGTTTAATAATCACAAGGCCTCTGAACTAGGAAATGAGTGGAAATCTGAAGCCCCAAATTTGCTTCATGAAAGTGTCCTTTAAGGGGATTGTGGAGGATGAAAAGCTAAAAAATTTGGATTGTTGATTGGTCAGGGTAAGGGGGATGTAATCATTAGGACGTAGAAACTGCAGTTCTCCATGAGTCAGCTTCTCGCTACGTTCTTCAGACTAGCCAGCATCAGTAGTTTTGTTAGTGTGTGGAAGCTAAAGAATTAAGTCAGAAGCAAAGCTTATCATCTCACGATGTCTTAGATTTTATCTATGGAACAGAAAAGGAACAACAAGTCTTGTCACAAGTGCTATATTATACTGGAGTAGTAAGCAGTGACCAGCTACAAGGAAGAGGAACAAAGGGCAAGCTTGCTTAATGATTAGTGCTGATTGTGCTGCGGGTTTAGGTGAGCTTTATTTTTTTTCCTTAATCAACTTTGGCAGCACCACTGGTGTAGTGGTATCATGCAAGAATCTCCAAGCCAATTTTATAAAGTTATCTTGGGGATGGTTTCATTTTTGTTGATCAAATGTATTGTGGAATGTTCTTTCCATTAAGTTTTCAGATATTTTTACTTTGTCTTTCAAATTTACATGCAGCAAGAATTTAGTATATCAACTTACCATATTTAAATTAAAAAAAAACTGTATTAACAGGAGAATGAGAACAGGATATTCAGCGATACTTTTATGATTTCTTGCATTTGTTATGATTCAAAGGGAAGTTAACTCTTAATCCTTCCTCCCATAGAGGTGATGTTTTATGTTTACCAAAGGAGCAGGGATGGCAACTATTCTCTTCTTTGTTTTTGGTAGATTGAAGAGCTGGTAGTGTTCTTTCACATACAATTGTAGCAGGAAATACATTAAGGATTTCTTTGGCAATGTGAGTAGCTTCTTATAATGTCAGTCCCATAAAATACAGTCCTGTGGCAATTATTGTTGTTTTCATTCCTTGTTTCCTTATGTATCTATTCATTAAATGATTACTCAATAGCTAATGTCGAGCAGAAACTGTGTGCAGGATACTAAACAGAGGACTAACTAAACACACACCAAGCTTAATAACGAATAAATATATACTTGAGGAAGTCTAGGGAAAGCCCAGAAAACACTCTTTTAAAGGGCTGGTACTTTATAAAGGAATAGGTAATGAAGGCAAATATGATTATAGTAGGTACATAAAAAATAATGGTATTCAATAAGTTCTTGGTATGATCATTGAAATTGGAGTTAGAGAAACTAAGTTTAGAATCAATGTTAGACTTAACTCCTACAAAGTCCTCTGTTGGAGCTTCAGTGTTTCTATCTCTCAGGGTGAAGGGCCATGGAATCTCAGAAGGACTTCTAAGCTCTGAGATAACATACTTGCAGGGTGAGTACACCAAAAAAAAAAAAAAATGCATTCAGAATTAAAAAAAAAAATAGAATACTAGGGGAGTGTTCAGAAATAATTCAACACAACAAATATTCCCTGAATATCAGTATGGATCTACAGGGTGCTAAGTGCTTTGTGAATTTCTCATAGTTTAATGCCAAGACAGTCTTTTATTTTTTTCCCAGGCTGGCCTCAAACTACCGGGTTCAAACAATCCTCCTACCTCAGCCTCCTAAGTAGCTTGGATTGCAAGTGCACACCACCATGCCCAGCTTCAAGCTTTTTTTGTCCTTTCCATTTGTCATATGTCTGTCAATATATTGCCTTCCTCCTTGTCATTATTCCTGGTTAACTGAGAGTAATCTCATGATCACCTTGAATAGTTTTTTAATATCCCCCAAGCATTTACATTATTATTTACTGTGTCCTCACAGGTTAGGTCATTCTTTTTCTCCTTCAGATAATTGTGCCAGGATGTAGAGTTTAAAGATTCATCTCTGTGAAATAAAATAATAAAAAATATGTTAAATAATTATCTCTCTCTGGCATCTATTTATATTATACCATTTCATCCTTTTCTCATCTTCTTGTTTTTGACACTTTTGGTGGAACTTTGCTCTTATTTTCACAAACTTTAGCAAATTCTGGGATTTAGAATATTATTTCATTTTCTTTCCAAGAATCTCAGGTAGTAATGTGGCTTTACACACCATCTATACAAAGATGATTTTCAATTTTTTATCTCCATTCTAGATGAAATCCCTACTTATATATTCAACTATCTTCTCTATGCCTACACTTTTAACATGTCCAAACTGAACACCCGATTTAGTTCCCAAACTAGAACCAGGTAACATACTCTAGTCATCTATTTCTTTTCTTTCCCTCCCTCCCTCCCTCCCTCCATCCCTCCCTCCATCCCTCCCTCCCTTCCTTTTTCCTTCCTTCCTTTTTTTTTTTTTTTTTTTGACTTCTTTCTCCTTCCTCCTTCCCTCCCTTCCCTCACTCCCTGTCTCCCTCCCTCTCTTCCTCCCTTCCCCACTTCCCTCCATCCCTTCTTCCTTTCCTTTCTTTCTGTTTCAAATTGAGGCAGCCAGGCACAGTGGGTCATGCCTGTAATCCCAGCACTTTGGGAGGTCGAGGTGGGTGGATCACCTGAGGTCAGGAGGTCGAGACGAGCCTGACCAACACAGCAAAACCCTATCTCTACTAAAAATACAAAAATTAGCTGGGCATGGTGGCACGTGCCTGTAATCCCAGTTGCTCAGGAGGCTGAGACAGGAGAATTACTTGAACCCAGGAGGCAGAGGTTACAGTGAGCCAAGATTGTGCTATTGCACCCCATCTTGGGCAACAAGAACAGAACTCCATCTCAAATGAAAATGAAAATAAAAATAAATAAATGAATAAATAAATTGAGGCATACAGAGTATAAAATGCCATACACAAAATCCTAATTGCATAGCTCATTTAATTTCTACGCAGGTATGTACCTATGTAAATGACACTCTAGAGGGCTTCTTCATGTTCTCACCCAATTGGGACCCTTCAAGGTTTAATCTATTTCTTGTCACCCTTTTTATAATTATGAGTTTTTAATATAATGGAAACAGAAGTTAATAGGACTAAGTCACTATGTAACTTATAAAGATATATTCTATGCCTGAGTACCATTGAACTAAAGGTTTTAAATGTCACATTGTCAAAAGTAAACACATTTGCATGAATATAGAACAAGTAATATGCCCAAGAGCTTTATATAAAGAAATATTTCTTTTCAAATTAAATGTTCAGTATGAATACATTTTTAATTCAAACTATGAGCTAATTTTAGTCTTCATCAGAAAGCAGCATTGTGGTAGTGCTTAAAAGTAGAAGACTTTGAGTCCTACTATATCTGGATTGAGTCCATGCTTTGATGTTTGTTGGCTGATTGTATCTGGGCAAAGTATTTAATCTTCCCATGCTTGTTTTCTCATCTGCAAAATGCGGAGAAAGGAATATTGGGAGGATAAAGTGCAAAAATTAATACAATCGTCTTTCGGAACCATGGTGGATTTGTTCTAGGACCCTTTGAAGATACCAAAGTCCACTGAAGCTCAAGTCCTTTATATAAAATGGTGTAGTATTTGCTATGACCTACACACACCCTCCCACATACTTTAAAACATCTCTACATTACTTAAAATTCCGGATACAATTTAAATACTATGAAAATAGTTTATGTTGCATTT